TAACTAATATTGACATTGATCTATACTGTATTTTAAAACTTAAACTTCAGTATTTTTATAGCAGAGGGAGTAGACCATTGACTTAAGTATGGAAATAATTTGATTGCGGGATTAAATTACATAAATATAAAGTAATGGTCTTTGAATTGATTAACTTTTGATAGTAAATAAAACATTATTACAAAATTAGTGCTGTTAACAGGCTACTGAAAACACTGCATTTTTGTTCAGAAGTACAGAAGATGAGAAGCAAAAGATAAGAATTAGTATATTTCACTGAATATTTAACCTTCTTTAAACAAATATTATTAGCATAGAAGAGGCACACTTCTGCTTCTTATACTGTATATGGTACTAATAATATTATAATATCATATAATAATATGCTAAAGAACTTTGTCTTTGCCAACTTGAAGTATACCATCAGTTTCATCCTTGATAAACAGAAAAATATTTTTTAAATGTATTAGCTGTTTTCCCAACTCTGCAAGATATTACGTATTACTCATCTCTTCTCTTTTTTTTCAGAAAGCTTATAACCACAACTCTCTATATACTTCTCTTAAGCTATCAGGGCCTCAGTTTACCAATGGTTTTACACGACCTTACACAAATGCTGTATGACTTAATCTAGTCTTTAAATCTTCCAGAACAAAATATAACAAGGCCCCCGAATGAGATGGGTTGGGCATGACATTGGCCCAAGCCTTTTCATTCACTCCATTGTTTAGATTGTCCAAGTCCTGTGGAAAATTTAATCTACTTATAAAAGGACAAAGTCCAATCTCACCACTGTCCAGCTGTTTGAAAAGTTTATCTATACGTTTTGACAACCAAAGAGAAAAAGCAGAACCAATTAATTGAGTCAAATGATCTGCCAAATCCTTAAATAATGAGTGACTCAGTTACTCTAAAACCATCATCAACTCTAATTTGTTGAGAGTTTCCAAAACATAGATTCTTTGTCAAAAACAAACACTAAAACATCACCCATAAAAACAGAGTTTACTACAAAAACATCCTAATCAATAGTCTTTCACACAAAACAGATCACCACATGACATGACAGCACAGGAACCCTTAGCACTAACTTCCAGATTTTCTGTCTGGCCTAAATCTAGTGTTTCTTGCTTTCTACACAGACCTGCGATCTCTTACTGCTCAGAAAGAACAGTTATGCTGAGGCAGACAGATGTCATTATTACTAACAAGATATTCTTGCAGGTGTTAAAAGCTCAGAGTTATTCACGAGTGATCATTTGCCTCACTCCTTTTTATATTTGGACAAATGCACAAATTACCATAACAAAGCACCTTTCAAAGTTCACTGTAAAAAATATTCAAATTTTGCAATCTCACACTCGCCAGGAGACTGATAATTGTCTTTGATAAAAGCCCTTCTTTTGAATATAGGTCAATGTATTTTTTACCTTTTAAATCATTTTAATCTGAAGACTACAACGCTCTCAGATCATTTTATTTAATCAAAATGGGTGGTGCATGTTCACATTTCTTAATACTGTATATTGATACATCAGTATAAAATGGAAACGATTCCTTAAAAGTGTATGTGCTCTGAACTGAACACATTTACAGTATTTTACAGAACGTTTAAATCACGTCAGGTGTGCTATTAGCTTTTAATGGTTGAGTAACTTGAAGGAAATTGTGAAGTGCTCAGAACCACTAAATTGGGCAGTTACTGCAACTGGTAAATGAGCAATAAAGTTGTCCCTAGTTGTCCAGTTTTTTAAGAGAGAGTTACAAAAAACAGGAAGCCATTTAGCTCATCACTGAATTCCTAGTTGATTATGTCTTTACGTATTTTATTAGTAGCAGATCTGAGAATTCCATCTATCCCCCTATTAAATGATCCCAAGGAGACAGCATCTATCATATGACTTCAGAGCTGTTTCATAAATCCCACAATCTTTTGTAAAAAAATGTCTCTCGGGTTTTCAGAGTTATAGGTTTCACAAATCCAAAAATCTAATTCTTTCTTCTTGAATTTCCATTATATGATACTTTAGTCTTTTCTCTGAAGTTTCAAATGACACAAGTAAAGAGTAATAAGTAAATGACTGGACTGAATTATGGATTTGGAAGGTTATACAAATTGCAATGTGATGCATCAAAATGCTGCAATAGGAATCATTCCTATGTGATATAAAATAAATGTTGAGCATATAAAAACAGATCAGTAAAGGTTATCATCAGCCCCAGGATAACACTGAGGTTAATTTAACAGGTTAAAGTCAATAAAATGCCAAAGAGAATGGAACTAGGTTCAGAGGACTGACAGTTGACAGTGTTATCCATGAAAAGGCCAAAGCAACAGGGAATCAAAGTATATAATGCTAAAAGAACAACAACAACACAAATATTCACAACGTTTTGAAAATAAGGTTAGTTGTGCAGCAGTGCTATTTTATTTTTTAATTCATTTTAAGTCCTTTTATTCAACATTTTGAAAAAATACCTAATAAACTTATGATTACCTTGCAGTGCACAGTGTGAGAAAACTTACCAACAGCACTTTATTTAAGCCATCAAAAGACCTTTAATCTTTACATCACAGAAAGAGCACACAGCAAATTATGGCAACACTGTAGCAGCTACAAAATATGTCTTATTTTAATTATATGGTTTAAAGTAAGACCTGCAAAAGCAGCTCCATATTACCTGGAGTCTTGGTTACAATGCATCACTTTTGTAATAAACAAGTACTGTACTTTTTAAAAAAATAATCAATAATTAATCACATTTTTTCTTTATGTGTAATTATAGAACATGATACGTGATGCACATTTTTATTATTTAGCTATATACTGTAGAAATGAACCAACTGCATGATAATCAATATTTTAAAACATTTTACACCATTATAACTATTTTGTCATGTTTTGATAAATATGATGAAATAAAGTAAATATGATGTCCCAAAGTATATCTTGAGCTATGGCCACATAAAATAAAACAAAGAAATCTTAAAATGTCAAGCACCCCTTTCTTGAACTGTGACAATCATCATTACCATCCCTGTTTTCTAATTGTTTCATCCTTGGAGGATAATGTATTAAATCTGGAAACATGCTAATTAGGCACAGATATCTAAGTACCAACACAGAAACAATTTGAAGGCAATTTAATATAATTACTTTAAACAACTGCATTTAAAATGTTAGGATAAATGTTTAGAAAAGGTTAACAGACTTTCTAGCACTTATCTCATTTGATGAGGCTATAAAGTCTGTTAACATTTTCCAAAGTACAAGTACATGAGTTAAAACCTACAAATGTGAACTCTCCTGTTTTTGTCCAGTCATCCATGGTTCTATAGTACAAATATGAAATGTATACCCAACACTCAAACCTCATCAGGACACACTGAAAAGTGGATATATTACAATTATCAATACTGGAATTCAATTTAAATAATTGCATAGGCTTAACACCTGGCAGTAACTGTATAACTGTGTATGATCTGGGCAGAAAGTTACAACAATAATGTAATAACAGTTTTGTTCACTTGAAAATCAATGAAAATGTACCTTTTGCATCTGAGTCAGTTTATACAGAAACTTGCTTAAACCACAGCATAAATCACATCCAGTAACTAAACACTTGGATTCAATGATAGGTGACTGCACTGTGACTGAGAATAATTCAGTACATGAGTAACTCTTAACACTTTTCTATAAATAGTGTTTATAAATAGTCTTTGAATGCTGTGTGCTATCTTTGTGGATTATAGTGGATGAAGATTCACTTTGTTCTCTTAATGATTGAAAAAGTTTAAATTATTTCTGCTTTTAAAAATGGAGAGATGAGAAACACAAAATGGTGCTCCATGGGGGAGTTTTACATTAATTCTTCCCCAGAAATAATCTTCACACCTAAGTAATTTTATTTTCTCTAATCCATAACTTTACTGTGATTTGCAAAAGACACATCACATTTTTGTTTCAGTAATCTGTGTTTTAAAATACAATCCTTACTTAAGTAACGTAATCATGAAATATTAGTTCAACATGTCACTTTTGTAGATTCATATTATGTAATTCCAACAGTTTCAAGGGTTATAGAAGTCTTCAACTTCTTTTTGTGAAAAACTGAAAACACAAGAGCTTTGGTAGTTCCAGTTTGACATTTGTATATTTTCTGCATGCAAGATTTTGTCTTAATCTTGAAACTGCTCTGTTTTACCTGGTGCATTTTGATAATTTGATCAGGAAGAGGTGTTTCACAAACAATGAAATGAGTGGTCTTAAGCCCAAAAGCACCATCTTGTTCATATACTGTAACTCTTTGCACTTTGACAATTATCACTGGCTGATTCTTAACCACCCTTCCTTGTACCAGAAGTGACAAATCAACAGGCAGACAAATGCATTCTGAGCAAACCCTGAATCCAGGACTGTCAATTCAGATCATATTTTATTTTTATTTTTTAAAGTAGAAATATAATATATGCTGCTATTTCATGTTTGTTTCTTTCTACAGTACTGTATTTGTCTTGTTACAATATGTATTAGATGCAATGGATTTTCATTCAATTGCAGTTGACAGCCTTCAGTATACTGTAGTTATAATGCTCTCCCACTCAGAATTCCAAGGTATTCATACATTAGTGAGGTAATGGACATTTTCCAATCAGCTTTTATTCACTTCATTGTGCTCTGTAAACAATTTAGCAGGCTGACCTATTCTGAGGCATTTGTTTATCTACTGCAAGATGCAGCGTGAGGAATCAATAACCTAGACAACCGACAGGGACTTTTTATTATATTTAGAAATCTTGACTTCGTTCAGTTAATAACATGCTGCTCCGAGCAAACTATTGAAGGTCATCCACCAAAACTCCCAAAACAAAGGAAATGTCTTCATGCCTCTTTAATATACAGATACGTAACAAATTGTTTTGCGTCAAAAAAAACTTAATACTACATCACCACTAGAGGGAGGAAAGCAAACCATATGTTATACTGAAACAGCGCAGATCAGGCTCTCTCAATACGCTCTGCAACTGTGTGCTTTACTTTAAGCAGATATAGTGTGTCCTGTTAACCAAAAGTGCTATACGCATGACAGTAAAATAACGTATTGTAAAAGTTCAGCTTTAATTAGTATTGAAGAAATAAAAGTATTATCCATGGACAATGAAAGAAATTCTGAACTAAAGGTAGGTTTGATCTTTATATTGCAAGGGTTTCTAAATGGGAAGGGGGGTTGCCTTATAATTCAATTTATCATGAATTACCACTTTGGACAAAAAAAAACACGCAAAAGGTGTACTGTATATTAACATTTGAAGTTTGACTTTGCTAAATGCAGCATTTATTGTATTTTAAATTATAAACTATAGAAACATAACGACAACAATGTATTGGTTAGCGCTACTGTTCTTAATAAATCTATTTAACTGAACCATGAATATATAATACCTATTTAAGTGACTCGTTGAGTTCAGTTAATTATCTGTGAATAAGCAGTAAATCTAAAATATTTGTAACCTTTTCCTAAAACTTTTATGTTTCGGAATATTGTACTGCATTAATTATCACATAGACAGTTGTAGACACATTTACAACGATTTCATCTTTTTAAATTGTTGTTTTTAAAGTTTTTTTCAAGTTCATTAAGAATTTTGGGTATTATTTTGATGTACTTTTTCCTGCAGTAGAAATGTTACTGTTTTGATCAAAGTAGTCATTGTACCTACAGTAGGTATAAGCAGTGCTTAAACTAATTCATTGGAAATTTCCTGCACACTCGATTTTCATAATGAATGCAAAGTCAGCTTCTCCTTAGCTCTGAAATCATAATTGGTTGAAAATGTACTGTATGCATATTGTTTTCCTCTTCACAGGTACCGTATATACGGACTATTCAGATATATCATAAAGAAAAAAATGTTTTGAAAGTGCCTTTGTTGGATCCATGGGAATATGAACACGTGTAAAATAAATTATAAAGGTAGCATTTTCACTTAACATCAGCTGAAAGCAGACTGTTACTATTACTTTCACTGTAAAAATGTCTGAGTAATTTGTCTAACGAGATGCTAAGACAACACCCTGACAGAAAAAAAGATAAGGATAACTGTTGGAAAAGCTTGATATGGGTTTCGTAGTATACCATGTTCACATACAGGAATTAGACATTTAGAATAGTAACTGCAATTTCTCAAAAACTGAGATCAGTAATATTGAACAGCATCATACTGTTATTGTATAAAAATCTACAGGAATCTCTATTATTCTGTATTGTTTCATGCAGTTCTGTGATAAATTTTAGTGAAGTGCTCCTTTGGGGCATTATTGCAATTGTTTCAAATTAGAATTAGATTTGTCTTTCAAGTGTCTGCAGACAAAAACACTTAATATGAATCTCTGTAGCAGTGGGACTTAGCTGAGCTGGTAAAAGCATTATAATAATCCAGCAATAGTAATGCTATAAATATGGAATATGGAATTATGTAAATCATTTTGTTTGAGAAAATACATTTGCTTTTAAAGTATTAATGCGTTATATTTGAAACTAAGGTATTAGTGAAAAAGAAGCACATAATGTCCTGGGTTTTTAAGAAAGAGGTCACAAAATGGCTTTGTCAATGTTGCTTCATCCTTGGTACCCTGGACAGCTTCCAGCAGACAATCATTTCGAATTTTCTGACATAGCGAAATGAAGTGTAATAATTCCTGAAATATGTTTAATCATTCCACCAAGTTATGTTCATCGTCATGGTTTATGTTCTATCTCATTCTAAATTAAATCGAAGCATTAAGAAGAAATGTTAAAACTTTGATGCAATAAAAAAAAATTCCCCAATTTTCACAATAGTTTTTTTCTGTGAAAAGTTGCTGCTACACAGATATCAAAACTTACTTAAAAATCATTTTTGCACAGGAATCATTAAGCATTTATTTATTTAAGAAATAAAACAGTTGCTATGTTACAGACATATTGCATTTGAATGTTAATTATGGAGAACCTGCCTTGTGATATTGTTTCATAAGATATGTATGAAAAAACGTAGAAAACTCTCAGAACAAAGTAATACAGTTTGTGAGGTTACCCAAGTTATGGTATTTGATCTTTAAGTAGGTTGTTTTCTTTATTCTTTTCATCTATAGTACTTCAGAGTTTTAAGTATCTCAGTCACCCAGCATTTATTTTATGAGGGACTGCAAGGTCAGTATGCCCCAGTCAACATGCTTTTTGTACCTACCCAATAGCATTATTTATGGGTCTTGGGAATACATTTTTTATTGGCATTTCTGCACTGTGTTCACCTTGTGATGTGTTTTCAAAAGTAAAATGTGGTACTTTATATTTCAGGCATGGATCTGACGATTCTCTTTTGGCCATTTGAATAATGTGTGGACTTTGATAGGAGCGCCGGAAGACTTTGTCCATTTAAACTCAGCAGTGAATATTAGAACCTCGTTGATTTGCCTCCAGAAACTATTTCCTGCAAACAGTAAAACTGAACAGCTAACGTCGTAGACATGGCTGAAACTAATAGCAGCAATTTTGCTGCAGTGTACACGGTAACTGAAGAATACATATCCAGAAACATTAATTACCCTCACACGTTCAACTATGAAACAGACTATGAGATCCCACCCGATGAAATGCCGGATATGACCCAGGGCATGGCCTTTTTTGCCGCCACAATCGTCATTGGTGTGGTTTTGATATGCATCATGTTGGTTTGTGGCATCGGCAACTTTCTGTTCATCGCGACCCTGGCTAGATACAAAAAACTGAGAAATTTGACCAACCTGCTCATTGCTAACCTGGCCATTTCAGATTTCATTGTGGCAATTGTGTGCTGTCCTTTTCTTGTGGATTACTATGTTGTGAAGCAGCTCTCCTGGGAACACGGACTAATGCTGTGCGCCTCAGTCAATTACCTCAGAACGGTGTCTTTGTACGTTTCCACCAATGCCCTCCTGGCCATAGCAGTGGACAGGTGAGTTGACGTGATTTCAGGTTTTAAGATTTCTCGTTGTGCACTGCATGGGTCATTCTTTCTTGTCATTTCATTGCACTTTGTTTGACTCTTCCTTACCATAAACAGAGATTTTTAAAACCTACGTTAAATCCAATGAAATTTGAGCACTTTGTTGCCTTTCTGTTTGTGGAACCCTATTACCAGGCACAATAGCTCAATTCAGTTATAGCTGGACTTTTTCAGACTCTGAACCATATGTTAGGAAATTTGAAAGAAGGGATTCATCTTATTATTGAACTCGTCACACAAAAATGGACTTTCTTAATTATTCCTGAATAAAATACTGTACATTCTACAATCAAATTCAATTGATGAGATATGTATCTCAAAATAGAATGTATTTTGAATCTTTGTTTAAAAGGTAAACAGCAATAAACTACATATGAATGAAACTGAAGTTCAACCTTACATTTGTCCTGCATGCCTAGTTCTTTGCTCTCTCTTAAATAACTATAAGAAACTATAAGAGTCGGTATAAGAAATTTAGGCATTACTTTTTGTTTGACTAAAGTAACCAGTATGCAGATTTTTATTCAGATGGGCTCTTTTTGTACATCCGAGTTGAATCCCCTACTTTTTGTAAGTAGAATCTCATACAGCCAGTGATATACTGTGCTGACAGGACACTTGAAAAGATTTCATATCTTATATATCATTTTATATATTTCATATCTTTCACATCAGCTCTTCAGGGACACTCTGTTGGCAAAGACAGAGCTCCTTCTAGTCTCTTCATCACTGACCTCGCAACCAGATGTTTCTTTTTCTCTCGCCACTTTATCTTATTAAAACACATTTTTATTTCTACAATCACGTCAACAAAACATTGATGTGATTGTTTTTTCTGGAAAAATGTCAAAGAGCCATAAAATACGTGAATTGTTTGTTGAAACCGTTATTTAAGTTATTCAATACTGTCGGTCTGTGCTTCACTTATAAGTGGCTGTGTGTTCAGAGTAAAACTTTGTGTGCTCATGACTAAATCTTTTTTTATCACATCACTTATCACTTATTATCATTAATCCCATATTAAACTTAGCTCAGAACTTAAAGCAAGCATTCAGTGTATTAAAAGGTCCTTGACTCTTGATGTATATGTATTTCAGTGGCATTGGCTTAATCTCCCATTTTCGTTTTTTCCTTAGATATATGGCAATTGTTCACCCTCTGAGACCTCGTATGAAGTATCAGACAGCTTATTGCCTCATCACTGGGGTCTGGATTGTACCCATTCTCATCTCTATACCTTCTGCTTATTTTGCAACCGAGACCATGTATCCACATGGTTTGACTCAGAGCAAAATCTTCTGCGCTCAGATCTGGCCGGTTGATCAAGAGATTTACTACCGCTCCTACTTCCTCTTCATTTTCGGTGTGGAGTTCGTTGGCCCTGTAGTGACCATGGCCATGTGCTATGCCAGGATTTCCTGTGAGCTGTGGTTCAAAAGTGTCCCTGGATTTCAAACAGAGCAGGTAAGGAAGAGGCTTCGATGCCGGAGGAAAACCGTCGTGGTGCTCATCGCCATCCTGACCGCTTACATTCTCTGCTGGGCTCCGTATCACGGTTTCACCATCCTGCGGGACTTTTTCCCAACAGTGTACTCAAGAGGCAAGAACTCCCTGACAGCCTACTACATCATTGAGTGCATTGCCATGAGCAACAGCATGATCAACACCTTCTGCTTTGTGAGCATGAAGAATAATACTGTGAAGTATTTCAGGAAGATCGTACTTTTGAGGTGGCGCTCCACTTATGCTTCAAACAAAACCGTTGACGAGCTAGACATGCAAACATCAACGATGCCCGTCACAGAGGAAATAGACTGCATACGTCTGAAATGAAGTATCAGAAGTCCGCAGCTGTGACTGTAGGAGCCAGTTATTGATTTTTGAGCTGGGTACTTTGCTGTGAACAACAAGGGCCACGTTATCATGGCAGAATCGTCAAGAGGTTAAATCCATAATTAAATAATTTAATTCCATCTGTGACAGATGTGTTTTGGTGCGACTACATTGAGTTTGCTCTGTAGCACAAAGTTTTACCTTGCTCAGTTGTGGTTGCTTCAAAGCTCTGTGTGCCAGCTGAACGTAAAAGCATTTAAATGTCGGTCCCTCCATTTACCATAGTCTTGTCTACCTACAAGTGTACAGACAACTGAAGTCTCAAGTACTGTGGTAAAGATATTAACAGCACATTATTATTTGTGTTCCAATTTGATATTTAAAGAAATAGACATTATTTGTACAAAGGAGTTTGTTGTATTTTTCAGTAAAAGCAGAAATAAAATGAGTATTGTTGTGCAGTGCAAAAGTGTCTCTTTCTCAGCTCAAACAATACCTTGATGTTCAGGTATATTGATTATTGCATGGCTTTTGAATTCTGAGTGTTTAAGTTATCACTTATTTTTATTTTGGTGTGTGCTACAAAGATTGCCTTCTGTGTCCTTGCTCATCCAATTTATTGTTTCTTATTTCACATTCTTTTTAATTCTGAGAGGAAGGAAGAAACTAGTTTAAGTCAAGCAAAAAGCCATTTCCTAATCTATCAATTTGAGAATAAAAAATGAATGTGTTGCTATGGATCCATTTGATCTTATTAAACTAGGTTAGGTCTGTCTAACAATTCAGGAACAAATTTCCATCTGGTCTATTTTGCAATTGGGGCGCTGCTTCATTTTTTTCTTTTTTCTTTAAAAATGTATTTTTTTTACATTAGTCAGGAGCACAAATCTTTCATAAAAATATAATAAAGGTTAGAAATGAGAGGAGGCCATCTAGTTTATTTAATTGCCATTACACAGTTAAGCCACTAAAGAGTTTAGTGTACATTTATGTCATGCGTCGCAGTCTTTTTATCACTATATTGTTTTCAAAATGCATTTGAATAATTTAAGAAATCTTTTCTTTTTTTACTACATTTTTTATTTCTAAAGTCCCAAGTTCTACTCAATAGTGAGCACACTATTTTTAGAGTGGCTCTGTTCCATCAATATACAGTACTTCATCATCCTCACAGGTGCACCTTCATTGGAGAAGAGTATGATTTTTCCCATGGAAATGTACTAATAGTGGCTGTTACCTCACTATTTCATTCAGGAGCATACAGTATGTGAAAGTATATGCATATTGAAGCATAAACCAATTGCACTGGCAGTCACTCAAACTTAATTTCAGGCTTACTTTGGTTTTAAGGTTTCTCATCCTCAGTAGCTAATGTCTTGTTTGGTCACAGTATTTTTAAATATGCAGATCATATCTGAAATAATCTTATTAAAAACATACCAGTAGTTTCTGCATTGACTTTTCAGTTTAGCTAATTTTGGAACCATGCAATTGTTCTCTAAATTGCCAAAATGTTCCTTTATTGAAACTCAATGGCTGAAACTAAGGGAAAACGGCAAGAACATACAAAGGATCTTCTGTCACTCTGGCTGCATTGTAGCACACAGAATTAAGGAAAATAAATAAAATTCTGTAAGGAAACAGAAAAACAGGAAACTGAAGTAAGAGCTCCAATTGAAGGGCTGCAGGGTAGTATTCCTTAGAGGATTCCGATAATATTGGTGAGCTTTAGGAAAACAGCAAGAACTCATTAGACTACTAGAGAAGGTATTAAAATGTAATGCCTCATCTTTTTAAAATAACCCTTTTAAAACCTTAATTGGAAATTGCTTGAGTTTAAGGACAACACATGGGGAGAGAATTAAACATGGATCACAGGTCAGTCTCTGAAGGTTGTTTTTATAACTCTGATTATTACTTTACAGCTGATGGTCCTAAATTAAATTCCAATGTGTGGTGCTTTCCAAAGCTTTATAGCTGAGTCAATAGATTTGATTAACCACGCTGTCAGTTATCCAGACTATGGAAGTGTGTCTGTCTTGTTAATGCTGAGATCATTCATCAAGCGTTCTTCCTATTTAGGGTTGTCCACTCATTATTTCATCAATCCAGGAATTACATTCTATAACCAAAGTGGTCAAAATAGCAGACCCCTCTAATTAATTGGTAGTTTCGGGGAAAACATATTAAACTTTTTTAATAGAATTATTTAATAGAATTCTCTCATTGTCTTAACACTTGTGGTTAATACCACGTATCTGCCAAAATATCAAACTGCCAAACCTAACTACGATGTAGAGACACATTAGTATGTGATTCTTACAGAAAATTAATGGAATTTCAAATCTGCACACTGTTAACAGCTCCAAAATATTTTTATGTTAGGAATGCCACAACAGAAACAGGTTTTTGTGATTTTTGCTTAAGTGTATATATTATTAGTATTTAACTATCATTTTTTTAATAATTCAGTATATTTTCCTTTGTAAGTTATTCATATACAGTTTACAAATTGTTCTTCAATTTGTAAAAGAAACTGGTTAAATTGATGTCAGATTTATTTCTGAGGAGCTGAAAGAGACACGTGCACAAGTTTGCAGCATCTGAGAGGAGACTTTTCATCCAGTATTACTTATCTGGTTGGTGGTACCTTCAAGATCCAAAACCACCTTTTAAGAAAAAAACACGTTCCTGCCCTTTGTGAAACCTCATTTTGATTGTACGTGTTGCCCTAATGGTACAGTACTTTTAATAAAGATTCCTATACCATCTTGCAGTGGGTTGTTAGAAATCAAGCAGGTGTTGTTTGTCTCAGAATACAACATGGTGTGGTGGTGCTGCTGGCTAGCAGCTCTAGGGAACAGCATTTTGATTCCAACCAGGGCCTCCTGTCTGTTTCTTCCCCCTACGTATTCTTGGATTTTTAAGCACACATGAAAGGCTACAAACGAGTGGAGGACATTCGGCACATTAAGACCATTTGATACTGTAGTTATTAGCTAATTGATCCAAGGATATTATCCAGCCTTTTCTCAAAAGAAATCTGGGTATTGGCTTCAGCAACATGCCTGGGTAACTTGTTCCAGGCTCCCTGTTCAAGAATAAAATGGTTCAGTTCCTAGGCAAGTCTATTAACTCAATACCTGACCAAGAGTAGAATGGACTCAATGTCTCTTGCCTGCAATCTGCACATAAGGCATTGGATGAAACAGTATAGTTTCTGACTTCTATAATCCTGAATATTATAACCGAAAGTAAATACCTTTTTTTTAGTTGTTTGTTTATTTTTACTTTGTAATGTTATACATTTTCACAAATTATTTTTATTACTGTCCACAAGTAATATTTTCTTAACAGCCTATAATTGCTTAAAAGAAAACAAATCTGGAGTAATACAAAACATTTAAGCAGATCTCAGGTATTTTTGTGACATGTACAAGCAAATGTTCATGTGACATGCCAAAATAATATCCAGTAATTAATATAAAAAATTATAAATGAAGGGAGTAACTTTAAAATAATTTAAGTAGTTTGTACAGATTTTGTCTAACCTATAAATGTCTGCTCATTCTTACGTATTATTTTAAAATGATTCATGGAACGAATTTGCTTCTAAAAAAAAGATATGTGAACACAAGCCAACAGCCAGCCAGCAGGGTTATACATATTAATCTGTTTCAGTTTAAATCCATTGAAGCAAGAGATTCAATAAGCAAAGGAAAATAAAATTGAATTATGGCATAAATGTAGATATTTACATGAGACTTCTCAATAAAATGACGAAGAAAAGATGGATGATTAACCAACAGTGAAGGTTTTAATGCAGTTTGGAAATTTGGTTCACTGGCTCAGTAAAGTTTTAATTAGATGTGAAAGAAATAATAAGTGAGAGAAAGGAGCAAAGACCGGAGTAAAATACACCACTGTGAAATGTCACTAAGACATTTGAAATAAAACTAACTGTGGAGCTCTCTCATACTCATAAGAATTAATCACAGTAAAAAGCTCTTCTCTACAATGGATTCTAGTTCCTGATACTGCACAGAAAAAAAAAGTTTCACTACAGAGCACATTAATTTTAATGTTGTTAAAACACTACTTGAGTCAGAAAACAAGGGATTGAGCAGCATTCATTTTACAAGCAACATCTTAGCGGCATGTTGATGAACATAATGTATTCCTGCCTCAAATGTTTAAGGTTTCATTATTAAAAAGGCCTCTATTGGATTCTGTGGAACTTCTGAGATTTTTTTTCTTCATACTGTTTTTGCTAAATCACAGTTACCGTGAGGACCAGGGATGTGGCACTTATCATTCCGCCTGGATTAGCTCTGCTACAATGCTTACCCCAACATAGGTGGGATAAGGTGAAGAAATATAGTGTGTGCTTAGCAACCTATTTGATAAAATTCGGTGATGAATGTTACCTATAATTTAAGGTGAGGGACCCTTGAGTTGTGCTAATGTAACTAAATTAAACCCAGAATCATTCTATTCATGGTCTCCTAATAATCCCCATCTATGAATTCATCACTCTTTTCTCCCCCCCCCACTAATAGCTGGTGTGTGGTGAGCGGTCTGGCACACTATGGCTGCCGTCGCATCATCCAGGTGGGGCTGCACACTGGTGGTGCTGGAGGGAGTCCCCATTACCTGTAAAGCGCTTTGAGTGGAGTGTCCAGAAAAGCACTATATAAGTGTAAGCAATTATTATAATAATAAATATTATTATTCTAATTACACCTAGAATAGAATGGGCATGTCAGTCTGCTTCATGAAAGCATATTCAAAATTGGAATTTCAGTCAGACAAACCCAAGCGGAAAGCATATACTGCCCAAATTGTAGTACTTTTATCATGCATTTTGGAACAAACAACTAGCCAAACTAAGAAACAAACTAAGAAAATAAAAATACAGTAAAATAAGACACTGTTTAATTCCTTTTTAATATAATACTTTAATTCACCACTAAAATCCATCCTATCCTAATATTTTAGAATGGTGTGATTACTGTGCATGGTGGAGTGACCAATTCTGTGGCATTAACAATGACGTTTAGTAATATTACTAATCCAGTTCCAAAACAGGAGTGCCAGAGAGTAACAGAGATCAAGTACCATAATAGATTAAATAAATGTCTCCACTTTTAGTGGAGACAGAGTCAATGCAATAAGCCACTCTGTGTTCACAACCAAGGCGACAAAGCAATGTTGTGCTTTCTGGCAAGTTTTTGTGATAACTAAAACCTCCTATAAATGCATTTGTCCTTGTAATATCTTCATGTTGACACAATGAAAAAACTTTTTTGTGGAAATTTCTTTGTTACAAATGAAGACACTTGTTCTGTAACTTAACACTTAAGTGCTATTTGGTTGGAGCACAGTTCTATGCAACATCACTTTTCAGGCTGATTTAAAACTGTGCTTAAAAATGTGATGAGAAAGTGTTTTTGTGTTACCATGCCCAAGTGCAAGAAAAAGCTTTAAATAGCTAACTGGATGGGCAACAAAAAGAGCATTTTACAGTAACCTGTAAATGTTTTCACACCTTTAGTGAACCATAACTAAAAGAAATGAAAAAGCAGGTGTGCAGGTGATTTGCAGATTTATTGATTAGAATGTAATACGAATGTAATTGTGAAAGAAGTACTGAATATACTGAATCAATAGTAGAATTGTAATAAATGCATATACATGTTCAAATTCTGTAAATACTGTACATTGAAAATAAATGTTGAAAATTTAATCCTCTTATGCTTTATAGTCATTTTTTAGTTACAAACATCCAGAAAAAAAAGTGTAGAAGGTTCTGAAAGCCAAATTGAATGTCTTAATTAAAGGATTAAGAAGAAAAACTGTAATTTCATCATGGGGAAAGTCAAGGAATTGTCCAGCTGCTGGTACAAGATTAAAAATCTTATAAATAAAATTACTAAGAAATACCATTGGCAGTTCTTGACCAACATCAAAAAGGTCTAGAATAATTGGACACCTGCATCCTCAGTTTGATGAGGATGTACGAAAGCATAACCCACATTTTCCAACAGACAAGTGGTTTGAAAGGCTAATTCACACCTGAGGGTAACAATTGAGAACCTTCAGAACACATCATCAATAGTATCATTCTAGACTGATCTGGCTCTGGTACCTGTGGCAGAGTTCCATGGAAAAATAGAAAAGACATAAATTTGGCAAATCGCAACTTTATGTCTACCGAGAGAAATGAGCTAGTAAGATGGAGTTGGATGAAATGCAAACTTTCATCTGTGGACAGCTCATGTTGAAAAATAATTAATCCCCTTCTGTGAAGAATTTAACTGGGTCTGTTTTGTTTTAGCTCTGTTTTGCATCCTGTGGGATTCGCGTCCTACTTAGAATTAAGAGACAGATGGATTCCAAAGTTTACCAGGAAATTGCAGCCAAAAACTGGGGCCTTCTGTCAAGAGGCTCAAGCTTGATTGCTAGTGAACTTTACAATAGGATAACAATACAAATATTGCACCATTATCAATGACCAAACGGTTAAGAGAGACTAAAACTCAGTTTTGGTCATTGATCATCACAGTCTCTGATCGACCATTCATGATAATGAAAGGCTATGGAAAGTGCCTTATTGGGGCTGTCATAAGCAAACGTTAAAAAATAATTATTGCTAGGATAAAAATAAATCTGCAAATATAATGAAAGTCTTCTTGAGAGATGTTCTATTTATACAATATTAAAATTCATACACATCTTTAATTTATTTGTATCACAAAATGTACCTGGTCTTTTCATGGTAAATCTTTTTTTAATGGTTTGTCAAGGTCATGAGAGCCACAGCATCTGGCCTTCATGACATTACTAAATAAACCACACCCGGTTCTGGATGGGAAAAAAAGGACTTGCACTTTCAAACTTCCTTGACAGTTTCAAATTCATGACACAGAAAATTAAATGAAAAAAGAATTTTTCAAAGGTTCTCTAAATATTTAAGTGCTCAAGGAACTAGTGAAGCTTTATGGTCCTTTTCTAGTACTTCTGAAATGTAATGAATGTCAGTAGCACAGTCTCTGCCAAGATCACTATATCTGTGAAGGTCTTATGTTAAACAGGTTGCTACTGTATAATATTGGCAACCTTCCTTTTTCACATACTTGTGGATTCTTTAACATTGCTAGTCTGGATACATACCGTAACAGAAACAGGTTGGTCTTAATTTGAGTAATTTTTAAGGAGGAACTTTTATAAAATGATGAAAAAGGTATTTGATGTACACTATCAAAGACAGGCATATCTGTAGCGAATTAATCAGTCCATGATTACTAAATTAGAGGGAAGCAACATAATTAATTGTGACATATTAGTATGATCCAATTATATTGCTGTCGCTGATATCTTAGCTGACATTTAAAACAGTTATGATTTCACTTGTTGTTATTA